CGTGGACCTTGGAGGGGGAACACTGCGTTAAAAGTTTACATCTTGGAGAGTTAGTAGGCGATTAGTTGATTCCCAGGTGACTTTGGGCTTCAACTAATATTTTGAAGACGACAACACCACTCTTTGTTAGAAGTCCTAATCTCATCCCAAAGCTATTCCGTTCATAAAATCTCCTTTTCCCAGTACGTACACTAAATTAACGCGGTGGTCTCCCTCCATATTGCATGTGCGTGTCGTTTGCAAATTTTGATGTTTTTTTTTAAACCAGAAACGATTCTTTAGCCATATTCTATAATACTTCTTAACCAGTCTCGATTACCTTCTCGTATCGATTTTTCGTTGACTAAGGATTTCTTTCGTTATCGCGCTAAATATCTCCCAGTTGTTACTATTGTAAAACCGCAGATAGCCTGACATAAGTTTCTTCCTTTTCCAAGCGTCATTTTGCTTACTTTTTGGAAGCAATTTAATAGAACCCTTTAACCTCTAACTTACTATCCAATCGTGACAAAACTCATATGGGAAGAGATTTTTCCGATTGTCAGAACTCCTTAAGAATTTCGCAAAAAAAGACAGTGTTTAAGATTCCTGATTCACTAGGTGTTTCACTGTGTAGGTATGTAGTCAATACAAGGGAGCATTCATGGCTCATTCTTGAAAGTTTCCGCATAGGAAGGCTTAGCTGCATGCCTCCCCCACCTTGAGCGTTTTCGGCGATGACTTTGATTTCACTGACTTGAGATCGCTAAATCCCCTTGAACTCTGCTGCTTATGGTCAACTTCAGACTTGATTGCTAAAACTCGCGTCATGAGCGTGTTCCTAATGAAATCTAGCCGCTGTTACGCACGCACAGAGATCAAAACCAATACGCTTACGCTGTTCCGTTGTTGTCTACTTTAAATTGTGCTGGAAATAAGGGAAAATAGAGAGATGACAATGTTTGTTGGTGCTTCTATCCCAATATTCTTTCAGTTCGCGCGTTCGATGTGAAGCCTAAAGTGTTTGAATGTTTGGGCCTGGAATGGCTTGACCGCGTTATCCCTGCTTTTCTTTCAGAATAACGTTCTGGGCCTTACGGACTCTTGTAGCTACCATCCTTCTGCTAAGGAAGGAAAAAGGGAATTTTCAAAACAATGTAGCAATACACCAGGACATTCCATAGCAATTACTTTCCCCATCATTTTCAGCAAACAACAGAAGGCAATGTCATCAAAGTGAATGTGCCATCGACAACAACAATAGCACACTGGTGTGAGGGCAATCATGTTGCATTTCTAATCTTAAATACCACCGAACAGCAGGGGGGGGGGGGTGAGCGGGCAGGGAAGGAGGAGAGAGTTGAATGAAGGGTTACGCTAACGGAAGTGGATAGACAAGGTTCTAATCTGATGGAGTAACGTGTCTACCATATCTTTTGCAGTATATCATTTGTATTGAATCGTAAATTTGACATCCCGTACGTGAGATAGTTCGTCAACAATGGAAGAGCGGCAATAATCAAGAAGATCCGCGCGGAATGTGTCAGTACGCTTTTTTGCCATGAACGATCCAGGGAAACGTTTTCATCTTGAACACTCGGGATAGCAATGCACGTCGCTTTTGAAGAATAGGCAATGCACGTGCTTTGAAGACGAATGCACTAGAGTGAGCGGGTGCATTGTGAAAGAAAAATAGGGACGAGCCATGAAACTGAATAGAACGTTGCTTTCCCCGTTGATTATTCGCTTGAAGGCGTCAAATCGGTGCTGACGCCATCCAAGATGAACGTGCTGCTCTGCTTCTCTGGGCTAAAACGGCTACACTTCCACGGGTAGTGACTTAGCATCCCGTAGCCTATCGGTGGCGGGAGGCTTGCCCTTTCAACAGCGACACACCACGTTTCTTTTCCTTGAGGTCATATAAATTTCTTCGGGAGCCTTTGGCCCTTTTCATTAGCAGCAGACTTTATTGTGGCCATGCTGGTTCCAGCCAAGGTAGCTACTCGACTGGGATCGCAAAATTTTGGTTTTTGCGTTTCTTTGGTTTTTGTTTAGCATCGGCTTATTCTTGTCTATATCGGATCTACATACCCCAACAGCTTCCTCAACAGTAAACAATTTCCTTTTCCAAAGCTCTTTTTCGGTGTTTTGCGAGTTAAGGTAGTTGGCTAAATCATTGAAAGGGGTGCCCCTTACCTCACCGAACTAAACAGCTCTGTCTAGAACCATAGGTGAAATGTTGGCAACTTGTACGAAAACAATGCCGCACTGGCAGAAGCTGAAGCTTTGGCCGGCAAGTAGTAAGATTTTGGAACAATTTTATATTTTTTCCTTCGGCATACTGTTTTATGCCTGA